CCATAAGCCTTAGAAGCATTCACATCAATAATCCCTGACTTGTTAACTCTTATACCTTTTCCGATGGTTGAATCATACCAATCACATTTGAAAACCACTAATGTAAGATGATCTTTTCCAGGATATTGAAGCTCTAAAATCTCTCTCAATACTCCATAATAATCATGCTCGTCACCTAAACCAGAAGATGATGTACCTTTTACACAAACTCCATAGTTAGCATTTTTCTTGTCTTTACCATAGTCGTATGTGTGAAATATATATCCACGGCAAAAATACATAGGCCAACTAGTAACTTTGATCATCGGACCATGGGCAAGTGACCGTAACCAATTTGGGTATAAATTATCAGCCCAAGTTTTCTCCACCTAGTTGAATTAAGAAAAAGAAAACTGTTATATAAAGCAATTTAAACCAAAATTAAAAACAAAATTAAAACCAAAATTACCAGAAAGTGTTTCATGTACCGATTTATGCATAAGTTCCGCAAACGCAATCGGAATAAGTCGTTGCATCAAAACATGACAATCATGACTTTTCATGCCTGTTAATTTTCCTCCCGATATATCAACACACTTAGATAAATTTGAGGCATATCCATCAGAGAATTTAACATCTTTTTGGAGCCATTGTAAAAATATTGTTTTCGCATCTCCGTGTAGTCTGAAAATTGGAACCGGCGCCTTTCCATCAGCTGTTAAGTGTAGCTCTTTCCGATTACAGTACTCTTGTAAATCAAGTCTTGATTTAGTGTTATCTTTCGTCTTTCCCTGCACATTCAGTAAAGTATTGATGGTATTATCAAAGCAATTTTTTTCGATGTGCATCAAGTCTAGATTGTGCCGTAGTTTATGAAATTTCCAATAAGGTAACTCCCATAAAATACTCTGCTTATGCCAGTTGTGAGTTTCGCCGTATCCTTGTAATTTCCCATGGTTCCCTCCACACACAACTGTTTTCGGAAAACATTCAACTTCTTTTAAGAGCTCTTCACCTGTACGCAATCTAGGAGGAGTATCATTTACAATTCTTCCTTTTCTGAAATTTTTTTTGTTCCGTCGATAGCTATGATCAGTTGGAAGAAAACAACGATGACAATCAAACCAACTTGTTTTTCTACCATTCTTTAACTGAAATGCATTTGTCTTGTCCAAACAATAAGGACATGCCAACCGACCATGAGTAGTCCACCCAGAAAGCATAGCATAAG